GCCATGGCCACCCAGAAAGCCCCGAACGACATTAAGCCGCACTGAACGTTCACCTAGGCAGTCAAAGGCTTATTTGGTGTTGCTGACGGCTTTGTCATAATTCGCAAATTAGGGAGGTGGGGCCTGCTGCCAAGTCACGGGGCCAAAGCGCTCTAGGAGCGTCCCCAAGGCTATCCTGACGAAGATGGTCGAAGCAACCGAGGCAACGCCCGCGTTCGCAATCACCTCTCTTCTCCAATACCCGGGCCCAAACAAGTTCTTAGAATTTCTATCAGAGGCCAAATATATACGGAGATAAAACCTTAAAGCTCTCCCATTGGCGGAGTAGGTCGCCGACTTGCATTCCGTGCCGGGGGTGCACACGCACTTTGCAAGCACCTGGGGCCTGTACTTCTCCTTCTGCTCAGCCGTTGAGTCGGCGCCGCTTTCCACATCTGCGGGGACGTCTTTGCAGTCGATCAGCTGGCCGTCCTCCTTGAGGACCCCATACTGGCANNGTTCTTGAACTTCAGGTAGGCTGGTCGCGTTGGGAAGTCCGTAGGAGGGAAGAGCTGGTTCTCGCACGTCCCCATGCTGGTCGCAACTTCGAGGCCCAAAGGTGCCAAGGCAAACCAGCCTTGGCTGCTTGTACAGTGTGTCACTCGGACTTCAGACATCAGAAGCGAGCTAAACTCAAAACTAGAAAGAATACAGAATCGTAGTAAATTTTGAAGAAGCAGCCCAGGAAGGCAAGGAAGAACGATATTGTACTGGCCCAGAAAGCCCGCATATGAGGATTTTGCTGCACGGTGCCGCATACCCTCAATAGCGGCAGCTCCGTGGCCTTCTTGGTGGAATCCACTGCCAGCTTGTACTCCATGGTTTCTACAAAGCGGGATATAACACTCTCTGTCCGGGAGGCTATTGCTCGAGCACCCAAAAACTGCGAGCAGAAGTTCACCCATGTCACCATCAGAAGCGTAAGATTCTTTCAAGCAATGATGTGTCTGCACATTTCACTGGGATCCCTTCTGGCGCTCAACCCGGACACCGCACTCAGCCTTGTGCACCAATCCTTTCGGACGTGCGGTGATCCCAGCTATAGCTTGAGGTATGTCGGATGACCAAAAACATATGGTCCACGTATGGCGGTTCCCTACAACCTGCCGTAACACGCATCACTTATCAAGGTATGTATTACACAATATTACATGTTAAACCCTGGCTGTACCTTGAGCCATCGTGTTCAACAACCCAACAAGTCTTCCATCCACTTCTCCTTGAGGTCCTTGATCTGGTCTGGCTCCGCTACAGGCTTCTCCTGAGACATGTTCAGAGTCATACTGTATCACACTGGAATATGATGCGAGATCTCTGCAGAATAACACGGTCTGACAAAAATATGAAGATGCACATATTGACCATACTACATTATGATAGAATGGCCTCAGAAGAGGCAACCCGGCAGGAACGGCCCGAGCCTTCCGCATAGCGGCCTCCAGCTCCTTGAAGATCGCCATGCGCTCGGCCCTTTTTCAACACATAATCCGAAGCGCGACGAGAAGAAATGTTTAGGCTTTAGGGTTGTGCTATTAGGGATCCTTCCTGCGTTTCAGTGACGGTCGCGCGAGAAGAACTCTCCAACTCCACATGGAGCGTGCCAGGCAGCCTCCAAACCCTCAGCCTTAAGGCTCCTCCTCGTCCTAATGTGACCCTTCTTTTCAAGGTCCGGCAAGGCCTCTTCTCGGGCGTGAGGCTCACGGTGAAGCCTTGCAAAGCTCGTGACTCTGCCTGAATTTGAGCCTCCCGAACCTACAGTGGCCTCAAAAACGACTACTGTCCCAAGCGAAGGCTCAACCGGCGCCCGAGATCCGGGCTTTTGCTGCCAACTCGGCCTGTGCCATGTCTGCAGCCGCTGGAGAAGTGCAGAAATTGAGAATTTTGAGAAGGTCAAGACAGGCTCGCAGTTGCTAATGCTCAATATCTGTATGCCCGAGAAATTTGAGCTTGATCCCCCTGCGACCCAAAAATATTAGATGTTCGAACTTGGCATCGGCTGGCAACTGGGAAGGCTGCCCCACCTTTCGTTGGTGATTCGGACTCGAAGGGGCAGTCGCGGCCCTGAGCTCAGGAAATGCTCTTCGTACTGTGCACGGCATCTCAAGCAGCGCGATGGCACCAACGTTTTTCCGGCATGCACTGTACAGCACCGGATTGCATTCCTTGGTCTCTGGAGGGGTGCCTACTGCAGGCGGCTTGCCACGCAGGCTAGCGGCGAGAACGCATTGCCTGCGAGCGCCTGCTGCACTCGACGGCCTCAGGCCTAGTCAACCTCCTCAACGGT